CTTGTGCTGGTGAACCAGGAAGCCAGCATTTTTAAAGAAGCCATTCTGGCTTTACTGTACACTTCTTAAAACAGCCATGGCACCCCTGATCACCATGAGTCCATCTAGGAAAAATAAATGTAACAACCAAGAAACTGTGCTAAACTCTGTTCTTTTTTACCTAGTTCACCATGTTGGCATGCCAATTTGTTGTAGGAAGCTGCTTGTTCGTTCCTGCCAGCTCAAACCCAAAATAATCACAAAGAACCTATATTATTTAAATCATTGCTTGACCAATCACTTGAGTGTATTGCTAGCTAGTTTTTATATCTAGAATTAACCCATTTCCATTATTTTATATTTCACCATGAGGCTTGTGGCCTACCTACAAGGTTCCAGCTGGCAGTGTGCATCTTTCCTCTCTGGCAGCTACATGGCGTCTCACTGACTCCACCTACTCTCTCTATCTTTTCCAGCCTGGCAACACTCTGCTAAGCCATTGGACAAAAACAGCTTCATTGTTTATTAACCAATAAAAGCAACACATATACAGAAGGACCTCCCATACCACACCAGAACATGGCTCCTTTCCTTATAGCTGGGCAGGGATACTATGCACCAGTTCCTACTACCAAACAAATACATAAATGAACATATGTTCCACAGATGAATTTCCATAGCTGCATCTTCTTCACCTAGAATTGTCATATATATTTCATAAAAACTACAAGATAGTACACTTCTCTGGCTCACTCTACCATGTCCACCACAGTTCACTCCTTAACCTATTTCTGCAAAACTGTACCTACTTACTTGAATAGCAAAAATATTGGTTGATGATACCTAGAATGTAGAAGTAAGCAATCTTTACAAAATGTTTTCAAAACTTTCCACCCATCTCTATCTGTGAGTACATACTTCTTGTTGCTTTGTGTGAACTATACATATTCTTGTCAATACCAGGACCCATGCTTTGATATATCTGGTGGTTTCTCGCTCATCATTGTTTTACCTTTCTCTGCTGGATTCTTAATAATACAAACAAGAAAAAAATTAATACAAACAAGGCTGAAAACTGCATCACAAAGAAAAAGGAGGAGCAAAGGGAACGGGGAGGGGGCTGTAGTGATAGCTTAACAGTTAATAACACTTTCTGCTCTTGCAGAAGGCCTTTGGCCTCCCAAGTACTAGGGTTTTAGGCATGCATCACTGCTCCTAAATATAGGATTGTTTTCCCACACTTTGAAGATACCACTCTCTTCTTGCTTTCAAAATTCTCTCCTTCTTGGTAACTCTCAGCAAATTATAAAGTCCTGCTCAGACTTTAAGTTCATTTATTTTGGGCTTCTTTAGGCTTCATGGTGATGAATGTTAGTTTCTGGTTCCAGTTATAGGAGGTTTTCAGGTAGTATTTCCTTAAATAGATTAGTTACTTTTCTATTGTTATGATAAGACACCATGACCAAGGAAACTTAGAGAAAGAAGCACTTATTTGATCCTTATAGTTTCAGAGGTTTAGAGTTGGTGACTACCATGACAAGGAGCATGAAAGCAGGAAGGTAATGGAGCAGTAGCTGAGATCTTACATTTTGATCCACAAGCATGAGGCAGTGAGGCATGGGATTTTGAAGTCTCAAAGCCCACCTTCTATGACATACCTCCTCTAGCAAGCTCACACCTCCTAATCCTTTCTAAATGGTCTGCCAACTGGGAAGACCATTCAAGCATATGAGCCTGTGGGAGCCATTCTTATCCATAATAACACATTCTACTTTCTGCCCCCATTGGCTTATGACCATATCATAATACAAATGCATTTAGTCCAAATTCAAAAGTTCCCATAGTCTTTCAGTCTCAAGATTATTTAAAAGTACAAAGCACAGAGTCTCTCCTGGGACTCAAGGCAATCTCTTAATTATATCCTGTAAAATTAAAACGCAAATTATATATTTCCAACTTACAATGGCACAGAATGCACTTTACCATTCCAAAAGGGAGGAACCAGTGCACAATGTAGACATACTGAACCAAAACAAGACCAAAACCCAGCGAGGCTCATTTCAAACACTGTAGCTCCATCTCAAAAGGCTTAGATGGCTCTGCCATTTCCAGCTTTGCTGACTATAACATACTTTTCTCTCCTGGGCTGGTTCTACTCCCTACATGCAGCTCTCCCTGACAGACATCCCAAGGCTCAGGCATAACCAACATTCTGGGATCTCCAATGTAATCCAGGCTTCATTTTCACAGTTTAATGCAACAATATCTTAGACCTTTCGTGCAGAAACTTCTCTGTTACATGCCAGAGACCCCAGCAGCTCTCAACTGTGGAAAAAGATTCCAAAGCTCTTTTCTTGTGCATCCTTTATGATTCATTCTAAAGCCAGAATCACATTGCCAATGCTTCCAAGTTTTGTTGCTGACTTGGGATCGAGCCTGGGCCCCAGCTTTAATTATATTTGCATAAGATTTGATTTGTTGCTGCATTTTAGCAGAAAATTCCTCAGGTCTTTTCCTTTCGCAAATTACAGGACTAGTTAGGTGGAGTCTTGTCTTGAAGGCACCACTCCCTTTATTTCATTTTTTAAAGTGTATTCTTTTCTCATACAATGCATCCTGATCACAGTTTCCCATCTTTCCATTTCTTCCAGTTCCCCCACCTTCATCATCCCTCTCCCCCAGGTCCACTTCTTTTCTTTTTCCCCTTCAGAAAAGTACAGGCCTCCCAGGAATATCAACCAAACACAAATAACAAGTTACAATAAAACTACCCACATACCATCACATATCAAGGCTGGAGAAGGTAACCCAATAGGAGGAAAGGGTCCCCAAAACAGGCAAAAGAGTCAGAGACACTCCCCAACTCCTACTGTTAAGAATCCCACAGTAACACCCAGCTACACAACCATAAAATATATGCAGAGGGCCTAGCTCAGACCCATGCAGTTTCCCTAATTGTGGCTTCAGTCTCTGTGAGCCCTTATGAGCCCTGCTTAGTTGATTCTGTAGGCCCTATTCCCTTAGTGTCCTTGATCCCTCAGGTTCCTACAATCTTTCCTCCCCCCTCTTCCATGGGGTTCCCCAAGTTCTACCTATTGTTTGACTGTGATCTTCTGCATCACCTCATTTCAATTGCTCCATCAAATAAAACCTCTGTGATGACAATTTGGCTAAGCACCAATCTATGAGCATAGCAGAATATCATTAGGCATCATTTCACTGATTTTTTTTTTGCTAGTCATGTTTGGTTCTCTCCTAGGTCACTGAGTTATTCAGTCTCTGGTGCCTGGACCTCCAGGCAATATCAGTTATAGACTCCCTCTCATGGAGTGGGTCTCAAATTGGACCAGTCATTGAGTGGCCACTCTGTAAGTTCTGCTCCATCATTACACCAGGACATCTTACAGGCAGGACGACAGCCTGTATGTTAAAGTTATGTGGCTAGGTTGATGACCCAGCCCCACTACTGGAAGCCTTGCCTGGTCACAGGAGATGGCCGATTCAGGCTCTGCGTCCTCGATGACTATAAGTCCTCACTAGGGTCACCCTTATAGATTCCAGGAATCAGATCAGGAATGGGAGGGGGTATGGAGGGAAAGAATGCAGAAAAGATGACTGGAATTGAGGGACATTCAGGGGGCAATGTGGAAACCTAGTGCAGTGGAAACTCCCTTTATTCCATTTTGCATCTTGCCTTTCCTATCTTTTTCAACACAAACCCTGGCTCCAGCTTTAACTTTGTTGGTGCTCTTTTTCTCAAATTATACATTTTGTGGTTTCCTTTGTTTGCTCTTTTTCATTGTAGACCCACATAAAAATGATCTCTAGTAACCATGCAACAGAATCAGTATTAGGCTGTCTCGAAATCCCAGTCAAGGAAATTAATCCATTATTTTTCAATTTTGCTTATTTTTAGAACTAAGGCAGGAAGTATATATTCTTTGAAAACTATCACAAAAAGGGCTCTAGCCTAATTGCTGATATTGTTCTCCCCTGAAACCTTGAGCTTGGCCTCCATAGTTCACATTGTTCTCAGCACTACTGTCTTCCAAGCTCCTACTAGGATGGCCCATTAAGTCCTGCTGACAGGGTTGAAGCACTTTTCTAGTCCAAAGTCCCTAATAGCATGATCAGATCTGTCATAGCAATACCCTATTACTGGTACTAATTTCTGTCTTACTTATTTTTCTATTGCTATGATAATGCAATATTTCAAAGGCAACTTTTAAAAGAAAACTTTTAATTGTGAGCTTGCTTACAATTTCAGAGGATGAGTCTATGATCATCATTGCGTAGCATCAGGCAGGTAGGCATAGCCATGGAACAGTAGCTAAGAACTTATATCTGATGAGAGAGAGAGAGAGAGAGAGAGAGAGAGACAGAGAGAGAGAGAGAGAAGAGAGAGAGCACTAAATGGGAAAGGCGTGGGCATGCTCTCACCCACAGCATAAGGAGTTATTTCCTAATCTAAGCCATGTCAGAACATGGTCCTAGAATTCATTCATGTGATGAGAATTCTGAGTGAGTGCTTGTGCAAACACTCCAATAAAACAAATCAAGAGTTTTGTGACCTATTTCTTCAAAAAACAGAATTGATTTTGTACTGTGTTTTCAGTACCCCTTCCAGGTATAGTGGATAGGAATGAGTTTACTTCATATTGTTCATTATTGCTTGCTGCTGTTATTCAATTAAATGTTTAAACTATCCTTTATATGTCTCTGTGGGAGAACATGTTTATGCCACAAGTGTGCAACTTGTGATTGTATACAGCTTGAACTCATGAAAACTTTACTCATGTGACATTTCTAAAGCCTCAGAGTATAAATTGTCCAAGACTCTGATACAGTTCGCTATTTCTTGAGACCTTAGACCAAATAATTTATTAGCTTCATTCTCCCAGGTCTCACTCCTTCTAGAATCGTGGTGACAAACCCACACTGAGAATGTTAGGATTCTTTCCTCATTGTCTCTTTAAAAGAAGTGTTAATAACATGGTGTTTCTTCTTTTTTATTTCTTCAGTTCACAAGAATGAAGGTCATTTCACTGTGAAGAATTAAGGAAGTGCAAATGAATATATAAAATCAACTATAAGCATCTAATGAGAAAAAGAGATTGTAGTATGGCTTTATATATTTTGTGCATTATCACCTTTTACTATTTGATACTTTGCCAGGACATTTGTAACAAAAATACATGGAATTTGAATTTGAGTGACAGTGCACTGTGTGATTATAGAATCTAAACAATCTCATGGAGACAAAACATTGCACTCCACTAAGAAAAGCACATGACTAGACCTTATGCTAACCTGTTGTTCTAATCTCAGATACTGGTGGACTTGGGAGAACAATTTTTAAAAAGAAAGAAATAAAACTGAACATAGTCAGCACCCTTGGTTCCTCTGACATTTTACTTCTTCCCATTGTGTCATAAACTGATGGGATGAGCATGTGCGGGAACCTTGTGGGGCAGGGTAGGTGCTGCGGCTAAACGCCAAACAGACACATGTTCCCTGAGGTGAAGTATACTATGAAACACCATTCAGTACTGCAGGTGGGGAAGGGTAGCGGGGAGGGCAAAAAAGAACCTATAGGACCAGGGAAGGTGAACTGTTGCCACAAAGACCATTGTGTATAGTGGTAAAGCTGTTCTTAACATAGGCCTCAGCCATTGCATTTACAAAGAAACATTGTAACTCAGGAGCTAAGACCACACTGTATAAACATCAGCTGCAATGCCTGCAGACCATTGGCCCTTCTGTCATAGTTCCCCTGGGTTCATTCAACAGAAAAGGAAGAAAAAACATTTAGTTTTTTCAATGAAAATACTTCACAACTACCTGTGTTCAATAATAATAATAATAATAATAATAATAATAATAATGGTGATGATGATGATGATGTTATGAACAGATTTTTTTATAAAAGTAATTACCCAGAAAATTTACAAGCTGCATGTAGAAAGAACTACTTGCTTATGGATGTCGTTCTTAGTAGATGATTTATGCTTAAAGCCAAATCCACCTTACAAAACCAAGAAATTTAAAGTAAATTAAGCATTTTCTCTTGCAAACTCTCAGCTCAATCAGAACAACAAACTAACTTGAGAAAGACATTTACTGTCCATCCATGTTTCTTTTTCTTTTTAATTCATTCTTAGAAACTGAGGCTCTGGTGATAGCTGAGTGGTAGAGCATTTGCCTGACATGACAAAGCTCTGGATTCTATCCTCAGTGCCATAAAAATGAAAGTGCGATGTGCTATGGCATAACATTTTTTCTATATTTAATATGCCCTATTTAGCATCACATAACCTACATGTAAGTACCTGTGTGCTTATTTCTTTCTGCACTTAATTACCTTGCTTATTATAGTACTTTTATGTTTTCACTGCTGCAAGATTACTCTAGAGTTTAATTATTATAGACAGATTCTGCTGCTTTAAATATGGAATTTTATTCATCTAAGTGTTGATTTCTTTTCGAGCAAGAGTAGAAACTTAAATAACTCAAATTCTTTTAACCCTATGATAAACCATTTCCCATTGCTGATGTAACAGCAACAGACTTAGTGGATTAAAACAAAGAAGATAGATAATCTTATTATTTCTGAGATCAGAAGTACAAAATCAGTCTCACGGGACTATCGTCCTAAAATCCTAAAATCAGGTTGTCATTAGGGTTGATGAAGCACTGAGGAGATAATCCATTTCATTGCCCTTTTACACTTCTACATGTATCCCAAATTGTTCAGTTTGTGACCCCTGTCTCATATCACTTCCACCTATTGCTTCCAGTGTTATGTCTTCTACTGCTAATGATTGCCCATCATTCTGCCCATTAGGAGCCTTATGATTTAGATGGTGGCCAAGTTTTGTTCATTTAAATCAAGCCAGGGGCATCTGTGAGGGACTGTTATTCTGCCTGCTAAGATACTATTCAAAGCACCTGTAAAATATATACAACTGCCCTGCTTTTACACATTTAAAGCAATACTGATAATGTGTTATTGTCCACAGCTTGTTGTTTGTCTTAACAACAATATGCATTGACCATCGTTTGTTTGTAATAGTCTTGTATGCCACCATGACCAATGGTTTTACCCTGTTTCACTGGAAGTAGGGTCATAAGTTCCCCTAAGAAAAAAACCAAAACTGTTCCTATGAACATTTGAGGAGAACTACTAACAGCGAGTGAAACTAGCCCAAGAAAGAGAAGTGTGTTGCAGTCAACAAGGCTGAAAGGAGTTGAAAATCTGAAGAGTACTTGACATCAGACTTGGAGGTACACTGTTTGGAATTTGCCTAGCTGATTTTTGGTCTTTCTTTGTCCAGTATTTCCTCAATATATTCTCTTTCCTCCCTTTTTGAATGGTAATGTATATTCTGTGCCATTGTGCATTGAAAGTATGTGATCTGCTTTTTGACTTAGATTTTACAGGAGGTTACAGTTAAGAGATTTCATGAATCTCATTAGAGACTTTGAACTTTGCACTTTGAAATGGTGTTGAGACTGACAAACTATGGGGATTTTTGAAGTTGAACTGAATGCGTTATTGCATTATGATAATGGTTACAAGCCTATGAGGGCCAGGGAGTGGAATGTGGTGGTTTGAATAAAAATTACACCCATAGGCCCATAGGAAGTGACACTATTAGAAAGTGTGGTCTTATTGGAGTAGGTGTGGTCCCGTTGAGAAAGTGATGGGGGGGGGGAGGTTTCAAATTCCCAAGCTATGCCCAGTGTCTCTCTCTCTGTTTCTGCTGATCCAGATGTAGAACTCTTAGATCTTTCTCCAGCACCATATCTATCTGCATGCCACCATGCTCCCAGTCATGACGATAATGAACTAAGCTTCTGAACTGTAAGAAAATCATCCAAATTAAATGTTTTTCTTTGTAAGAGTTTCCATGATCATGGTGTCTCTTCACAGCAATAGAAACTCTAACAAAGATAATAGACTAGGGTGTCCTTGCCTGAACCTACAAGGTGTTTATGGGTCACTCCATATACCAGATTCCTTTTTTTTTGTAATTTTATTAAATTATAAAAAGTTTCCATTTACGCCCCTCCTCCCAACACCCTCCCACTCCCCCCCTCCCTCTCCTCCTCCCTCTTTGTCCCCAAGGGAAGTCAGGGTCTCCTGCCCTGTGGGAAGTCCAAGTTCCTCCCCCCTCACTCCAGGTCCAGGAAGGTGAGCATCCAAACAGACTGGATCCCAAAAATCCAGTATATGCAGAGGAAACAAGTCCCAGTGTCATTGTCAATGGCTTCTCGGAAAGACTGCAGGCCAGCCACATTCAGAAAAACCAGCCACATTCAGAGAATCTGGTTGGATCACATGCTCGTTCAGTCACGGTCCATCTGGCCTTGGTAAACTCTCATTAGATCCGACCCCTTGTATCAGTGGGTGATAGTATCCCTCGCAGTCTTTCGTCATTTTCTTCCTCCTTTTGCTCCTCGTTTGGATCTTGGGGGGCTCAGTTCGGTGCTCCAACGCGGGCCTCCATCTGTTTCGTCATCCAACGCCAGATGAGGGATCTATGGTGATAAGCAAAATATTCATCAGTATGGTCACGGGCCAAGGCCGGTTCAGGCACCCCCTCCTCTGTCCAGAGAACAATCTGGGGATCTCTCCTTGGACCTGGGATCCCATATATAATCAAGTTTCCTGTAAACTCTAATATGACTCCCTTAGTTGAAATATATTCTTCCCTGATCCCACATTCATCCTTCCTCCCTTCCCCCCATCCCGGTCAACCGAGCTTTCTCCATTCCTCCCCTACTCCCTTCTCTCTAACCCTCTCCCCTTCCAACAACCCTCCCACCCCCCTCCCCCATGCACCCAAGATTACCTGGGACTCTTGACTATTTCCTACCTCCTGGCGGATAGGTAAATAATCTTCATCAGGTTCGTCTTCTTATTTAGCTTCTCTAGGATCACGAATAATAGGCTCAAAGACCTTTAATTATGGTTAGAATCCACTTATGAGTGAATACATACCGTGTTCCTCTTTTTGGGTCTGGCTTACCTCACTCAGTAAAGCGTTTTCTATGTCCATCCATTTGCATGCAAAATTCAAGATGTCATTATTTTTTACCGCTGAGTAAAACTCTAATGTGTATATGTTCCACACCTTTTTTAACCATTCTTCTATTGAGGGGCACCTAGGCTGTTTCCAGGTTCTGGCTATTACAAATAGTGCTGCTATGAACATAGTTGAACAAACGCTTTTGTAGTATGTTTGGGCATCTCTAGGGTATATTCCCAAGAGAGGAATTGCTGGGTCCTGAGGGAGGTTGACTCCCAGTTTCCTGAGAAACCGCCACACTGATTTCCAAAGTGGCTGCACAAGTTTGCATTCCCACCAACAATGGATGAGTGTTCCCCTCATTCCACATCCCCTCCAGCATAGGCTATCATTGGTGTTTTTAACTTTAGCTATTCTGACAGGTGTAAGATGGTATCTCAAAGTGGTTTTGATTTGCATTTCCCTGATCGCTAAGGAGGTTGAGCATGACCTTAAGTGTCTTCTGGCCATTCGAAGTTCATCTGTTGTGAATTCTCTGTTCAGATCAGTACCCCATTTTTTAATTGGGTTAATTAGAGTTTTAGTGTCTAGTTTCTTGAGTTCTTTGTATATTCTGGAGATCAGACCTTTGTCTGATGAGGGGTTGGTGAAGATCTTCTCCCAGTCAGAAGGCAGCCTTTTTGTCCTACTGACAGTGTCCTTTGCTTTACAGAAGCTTCTCAGTTTCAGTAGATCCCATTTATTCATTGTTTCTCTTATTGTCTGTGCTGCTGGGGTCCTACTTAGGAAGAGGGCTCCTGTGCCTATATCTTGTAGACTACTTCCCACTTTCTCTTCTATCAGGTTCAAAGTGGACGGATTAATGTTGATGTCTTTAATCCATTTGGACTTGATTTTTGTGCATGGTGATAGATATGGATCTACTTTCATTTTTTTACAGGATGACATCCAGTTATGCCAGCACCATTTGTTAAAGATGCTTTCCTTCTTCCATTGTATACCTTTAGCTCCCTTGTCAAAAATTAGGTGCTCATAGGTTTGTGGGTTAATATCCGGGTCTTCTATTCGATTCCAAAGGTCGATTTCTCTGTTCTTATGCCAATACCAAGCTGTTTTCAATACTGTAGCTCTATAATAGAGTTTGAAGTCAGGGATGGTAATGCCTCCTGAAGTTCCTTTATTGTATAAGATTGTTTTGGCTATCCTGGGTTTTTTGTTTTGCCATATAAACTTGATTATTGTTCTCTCAAGGTCTGTGAAGAAGTTTGATGGGATTTTGATAGGGATTGAATTGAATCTATAGATTGCTTTTGGTAGAATTGCCATTTTTACTATGTTGATTCTCCCAATCCAAGAGCA